GTTTGATATTAAACCTAACTGGGACAAATCTGGTTCCAGATGTCATTTATCATTGTGCTCTCAGTTGAAATTAGTAGGGTTGGACAATTCACTCACAAAATGTAAAAAAATATTCCAAAGTATTAAAACACAATTTACAAAAAATCCACCCAAAATTCTGTTTTGTAAATTAATTAACACACTGTTGGATGTTTGCCTTCGTATGTTCAAAAGTAAAAAAGAATAATAACAGAAAATATTTTCAATTTACTCGGAAATAACAAAAAAATCTTCAGATTTGAAATTATTAACATCCGACAGCAACAGGAGGGATGAACGAGGAGGGTTGAGACGTAAAGTGGGGCAGTCGCTTCTGTAGCAATATGTAACAGTGGCAGGCAAGCTGAATAACTCTCAGATTAAATTTTATCTCTTGGACTCCATTAACTTTCTGCGACATGATTGTCCAGGCATTCTCCGGGGAAATTATGTGTTTCGTCATATGAACAGATTTAAAATTGTATTTGAGCCTTTGAACATTTTAAGTCACAGGTTTTCATTTACACGAGAAATCACTATAATTGACACCTAAAAGAGGATTTTAGCGAATTTCCTATAGGCGAGTAGGTATTACCGTAGGAGGAACGGTAAGACCTAGGCCCGGGACCGATTTACTTTCTCATTTTAATGTCCCCAGAGGCCTAAAACCCCATCCGTTCAAAATGTTATATATGTATGCATGCTGCGGCTGGGGTATTTAATAATTTGCTAGTAATGGCTTAGATATTACTGATATAGATGAAGACGTAATTAAGATAAATAATTTTAATGTGATTCCGGAACATTGCGTTTATATTTGCACACAAACCAACACAAAGGTAACAGATGTACAAACAGGCCAGTCGGGGGATGCGGTTGCTTTGATTCAGTGAACCCAAACAATGTAAAACGTAAGGGTATCTTGTCCATTGATTATGTCTTTAAAATGAATTGGCACTTATATTTTCAAAGGGATATGTGTTTATTGGAATCATTTGAGAATAATTGAGCAAAGCTCTTATACTACACTCCTGCTTTTGTTTTTCACATACCCCTCCTGAACGGCTGAAGCGATCTGCATGAAATTTAACACAGTCATAGTAACCAACAATGGGAGGTGTAAATCTCTAATGGTAAAAATCTGACTAAAGAACTTTTATCTACTTGAATTAAAATTTCTTTAACAAAGGCTTTATGGGTTTATTGGTTGCCATTGCAGCGTTTGCAAGATAACAATAAAAAAGTAAACAAGAGAGTCACAACATATGTTAGTAAACGAATTATCTAAACTAGACGTGCCATTAACTTAAGATGCTACCTAAGGGAGTATGTTTTATCTATGATACTACAAATAGGCATTCCATTTATATGAACCAAATGCACCATTGACTTTGGAGACGGTACTGCAAATAGGCACTTAATTTATGTAAACCAAGTACCATTGGTTTTGGATACCGCAAGTGCTGTAGACAAATAATGTATGAGAATCAGATTAACCATTGATATTGCATATTGCAAATAGGCATTTCATTTATGCGAACCAAATATACCATTGACATTGAACTGTGAATAGACATCTCATTGACGTGAACTAGATTTACCATTGACTTATGATGCTGCAAGTATACATACCATTTACCAGACTTTGGAAAATGATTGGATTAATGCTAGCTCCGCTCAATATTGCAAGCAGACAACTGCTTTGTACACCTAGTTATATGATACTGTTGTTATTGTAACAAAAACTATTTGCGTTACAAAGCATTTATTCTGCTCTACACCTAACCTTTACTCCTCAAATAAATTGAAAAAATTTAATCTTTTCTTTAATAGACTAGGTTTGATGATGTTTATAGTATATGTTCTGAAATTTATATTTCAGATAACCAAGTGTAGAGTGTTTACAGTTAATTCACTTCATTATCAGAAACCAAGGAAGTAGTTAGTTAAAACCTCCGCTTTCTATATAAAACTATAAAATTCGTAATCAGAAAAGGAAAGATATCCACCCCAGTTTTGAATAAACATTGAGGAAATACTAAAACAATCAACTACAAAATTGTAGTTATGCTTTTTTAACTTGTAACAAACATTAATTGTGGTTTTAATTGACTAAACGCATTAGGAAAAAATAACCAACATACAATTAGTCTAAATCATTACTCTAATTTCATGAATTGTGTACACAAATGGAACTGTTTTGGTTCCAAGTTTTGTTTGAATTTGACAAACAACAAATCCGTGGTGGTTTATTGAATGAATAGAAATAGTAGCCGACACAACAGAGGTAGCAAATAGTCATTGGTTTTGCTGGCTTTCCCAATAACCTATCAGCAATACCCGTCTGGCTGTTTCTATATTTGCTTCACAAAACATCCATCCAATCTCAAAACTAGGTCGAAGAATAAGCCTGCCTCAAACCGCATTGATTACACATTTTCAATTCTGAATGAACCATTCTCGAGTCAGTTATTCAATTTATAAATCTCAAGCAAATTTGTACAATTTTATGGACCAATATTCATAATGAAATTGTGACAGATATTTATAGATTTTTTGTACAAACCATAGTTTTGTGTACAAATTTGATGTACTAATACAGGCAAAACAAGACAAAATCCAAAAATCTATTTTAAAAAGTACCAGGTTCAAAGGGGACTGCTACTCAGTTGCATTTTGTCATTATCAAGTATGAAATATAAAAGTAAGAAATACTACTGGCTGGTAGGTACATAAGTCCCTAAAAAGCTCAAATGTGAAAGAAATTTTTTAAATGAATAGTATTTAAAGAAACTCATAATCAAATTTTCTCTTTATCAAATATTTTAACAGTTATACACAGTTATACAAATATATTACTTTTTATCAAATTTTATGATTTAATACTGTTAATACTGTTCAATGAAATGGCAACCATACATAGTAGGTATTTTAAGCCAAGTATGAAAGGAGATGAGTGTAGGATGAGTGGCGCGATCTTGTAGTCTTATTAGTGACTAAGGCCGACATTCTTTAGACACAGCTGTTAATTAATAGCCCATACAGCTATGGCAACTAAGGGACCTACAGTTTAGGCCTCGTTTATGCACCAAGAGCGGGAGCGGGGCGATAGCGGGCCCGCTCCCGCTATGAATGGGGCTGTTTATGCACGGAGAGCGATAGCGGTAGCGGTTGGTTAAAGGAGAATGGAAGGGGGACACAGTCTTGCCAACTCAAACTCTGCCAAATAATTACCACAACTATTTGTCCTAAGTGCACGTGCGCGTGGGTCAAGTTGGCAACCCTGGCTTCAGCCGCTCCCGCTCCCGCCGTGCATAAATAGTCCCATTTGACTCAATGTAGTTGAAAACCGCTCTATCCCAAGCAACCGCTGCGATTTCTAACTACACAGCGGGCGAATTAGAAACCGCAGCGGGAGGTCAACCGCTATCGCTATCGCTCTTGGTACATAAACAGCCCCATTTAACTCAATGGTGTTAGAAATCGCTACCGCTCCCGCTCTTGGTGCATAAACGGGGCCTCATAGTGGAATCCGAACCACATTTTTCCTTGGTATATATGAATTGGTCTAATTATCAGGATAGTACTGCGGATAGTCGTAGTACTCACTCGTGCGGACCTTAATCCACACCAGGGAGTATCGTATCCACAGTGCATGCCTATAAATATCCACAATTCGTGACCTCCTAGTAGCTGGATTACAGGACGACGCTACCCGTCCCAGTCTAATAAATATATAATGTTTGTAACTTTATTATTTTTCAGCCATTCTAAATTCAATTAATTTGATTTGAGCCATCTGCCATGATTCTAATACTTATCATCCGCTTAATAGTTGACATAAAAATACACACACATAAAAATACACATTCAAAAATTGCATAGTAAAGTAATTGATTTCAACATTCTAAGACATGACGAAAAGTCTGAATCTTAGGTAACATTATCCCTCGTTTTATATAGTAAACAGTACATTGCGGAATTGACTGGTAAATAAGTAACCCTAATGTTAATATTGCGTAGGCTACTTGGCTTAATGATAAATCACGATCAGCTGTATTGAAGTAAACAAAAACCACCTATAAATGGCTTCTAATGCTATTCTTATGGGGCACATTTTACTCTATATCTAATTTTTAGTTAACATTTTAGAAACTGTAGTATTTTTCCCCGCCGTCACAGGATAGAGACTTTAATTTGAACCCTTTCCAATCCTTCTGCGACTTCCCAGTCTCCCACAATTTTGACAAAAAGAATCGCCTTACGTAATTAAATATATAGATTTTTACAAAGTAATGAACAACTACCGTTATTACACCATTCACTGTGCATAAAAATCTTCTATTGGAAAAAATGAACGAGGGTTGTCTGTCGTGTTCCTTTATCCACTACTATTCTAATCTGTTATTGCCCTTACCGGATCGGGAAGCGAACTCCTGTATGGGCTGCAAAGACCCCATACAGACCCTATAAAGAACCCTCCGAGTTCTACAATACCAGTGGTAGAGCTCGGACTTCGGAGCGTGAGGTAGCATGAAGTAATGTGTAAAATAATTCCCGGTCATGTGATGTGAAAGAGGAACATAAAAACCCCCCTTGTGAGATGATTTATTTATTTTATTTATTTATTTACAGAATGCCATTACATCATAAAATCAGGGAAATTTGATTAGTCTTATCATAGTATTTGAAGGCGCTGTAAAAGAAAATGTTTCTCTTCACCACAAATAAATCACGTTTTGTAATTAGCTTTTTGTAGGAAAGTTGTCAATCTCAGTTGATTAATGTTTCCGGTTGACAGATATGTATGCAGAAAGTATTTTTGGTGTCCCATACGCATAGGTGGCTTAATGGGTTCACAGAAAACCATAAAAAGTTAAATAAACTAAACTATACATATGAAAATAACTACTTTGGATGTCCAAACAGTAAAAAATATTTTAGCAAAGTAATGAGTCATGTATTTTACAACAAATATTTACCTTAAGTGGGCGAGTTATTGTGATGGTTTCAATCGTAGTCGTGGGAGCCATCTTGTCTTCGGAAGGTCGAGCTGAGCTGTGAAAAAATAAAACTGGGTTAAAATCAAAACGTCCTATGTAAATGTTGGTTATTAATTCAATGACTCAGTTGTTAGCATGGCTGATCAAATGGTCTGATTATTTATAACATCTATAGGTAATAAGATATACTAGTGTACATGTAGCTCGAAATCGAGCAATTGCAAAGTATTACAGCTTGAAAACAAATGACGGTCATAATTTCCGATGAGTTTGAAAGAGTCAACTCAAACTACTTAATGATTATTTAACTAATGGAAATATGATGTTCATAACAGGTTAATGTAATCAACATTTCTTGTAAATAGCCTACTGTATCTTATCATTTTTCAAAAGCTGATCTCGTTTTTATTGTTTTCCAAAAATGTTTCCCACATACAGCTGCATTAGGTTGTCCATCTTTATCTTCTAGATAATTTACACTACACATTCACTGTTTACAATTAACATATGTTCTTCTTCTCACTTTTAATTTCTGACAACATTTGAGTTTCATAACAATGTTTGTTTCCCATGTTAATCTTATGGAGAAATACAAAACATTAAATGGCCCCAGGGCCTCGCTCTCTAATTATTTCCTTTAAAAGAAAGTTTCCTGCACAACTTCACGTTACGCTCTTTCCAATGACACCAAAAACATGTCAATCGGTTCAGTAGCTTCGAAGGAGTAATTGTAAAAAAAACCTGCTTGCGTATTAAATAAGTACCGGCATAGATTTGGAAAAAACAGACTACTTTTTAGTTTTGATAAGATCTAGTCATATAACTTTGTCCTTGAATATCGATATTAAGCCAGACAAGACACATTGGTACTCGAGTAATCATTTGCAAAAGAAAGCCATGGCAAAAATTAAGTGTTAGCAATAAAATTCATGTACATATTTTCGAAGGATACCAATAAGAAAATTCCTTCTTTGAGTCAGTTTAGTTGTAATTTAAAATGTCTGAGTGAAGCAAAAAGTTATATGTCTTTATATACAAGCGAGTTCCATTCCATAATTAGATTTTACAATAATTTTTGTAATCTTGCTTTTATAATGAACGCACACTTCAGAAACTGTTTCATCTTTTTAAAGAGATAAGTTAAAAATGTTAGTGGGATATTTTTATTTTATCATTATTTTCTAGGTTCAATATACTCTAATTCAGTCTGTGAGACGTGTTTTGAATCAGCATTCTTCAGACTCGAGTTAAGAAAATTCCTTTCTTTAACATGACAAAGTCGAGATGAAAAATTTAAAAACTTCTTTAAACAAAACACATTTTATAGAAACATAGGTTTTATATCTGAGGTTCATTTTAGAGATTTGGGTTTTAAAATTCATTTTTGGCAAACAGATTGATTATGATCAAATATTTTCATAAATATAAGAAATCAGCATATTTTAATAGAGTTAAAATTTACATGATCAGTATATTGTTCTTTAATCTGTTTGTATTTTAGCTGTTTGTGTTTTCATTAATTTATTTTAAAAGTCAAATCAGTGAAATGTTGCTATATTTGTCTCAATTGTGTTTAAATGACAATTTAACAAAAAGCTTTTGGTGTATTTTTAGAAAAATTTTATAAAAACACCAACAGACCAGGGTATTTACTTTTTCGGCACATTTAGACAAACGTGAGTAAAGGATGAGACTTGAATCATGAAATTATGTATTACTGGTTTCCATCCTGTTCCTGATCTTCAGCCAGGGCCATTTATTAACCATATCATGATGACAGCAATGGCTGCTGAGTAGTTTACAACTATCAAAACTCAACTAACTTTACTCAGTACCAAACAGGCAAACAACTGATTACGAGGCACGAACCATATCAATATTAGTTTAAAAAATTGACTTTTCTTACACTATGTGTTTCACTACGTTTTTAGGGGGTAAGAGAACTCTTTCCATTTTCAACTGAACTAAAATCTAAATTTACCTATCTTCTATATCTAAACTAACCTACCAAAATGTGTCCTCCTTGATGTGGAAAAGAGGGAAACAAATAGGTAAATGTAGATTTAGGTAACTTCAAAACTGAGAGAGTTCCCTTACCTCCCAAAACATAGTCTAGTCAAAACCATTTAGTGTAGGAAAAGTATTTTTTTAAGTCATCCTTTGCAGTTATGAATTTTAAAACAGTACCATATCAACTTAAATATCAAGCTAAATGTATTATAAACACATTTAACAATCAAATCTAAGTATAAATATTCTATTAAAAATTCTAAATCTTAAAAAGTTTTAAAAACTTATACCTCAAAATCTTTAACATAAAATATCTACAACTTGGAAACATTTACATCATAAACAGTATAATAAATTAAAAAACACCACTATTGGTTAATCACCGTCCGCTGTCTAAGGGCAAAGTGCAAAGGGATTGATGATGGCTAGTTTCCCAGGTCGAGCAGCTTTTATCAGGCCCATGGGTGCCGTCGTGGAGCTACTTACCCTCAAACCACGGCAACAATGGCTTTATATACCCCGGGTTATCAGGTAAAGTATCTCACATGTCACTCTAATAACCTGGGATATAAATAATAACCATTACAAATATTGTAGTGTTTAAATAATGTTCAAGCTGATGCTGATGTTCAACTCATTCAGTCAATACTTTTGTACCTTTGTGGTTTGTGCTTATCTTCCTACGTCATTAGCATTCTTTGGGGTTTTCCCTTTATCCACCTATACATAGTATATGGAGAAAGTATTGTTTTCGTCAAAATTTTTGAGTTTTTCAGTTTCGAGTGGATATATCCCTTTTGGGTCACTTTTCCCCCTTTACATAGTATATGGAGAAAGTATTTTTTTGTCAAGATTTTCGAGTTTGAGTTTTGAGTGGATATATCCGTTTTGGGTCCCCCTGAGCCCCAAAAAAGTAGTTTTCGAAGTGATGTCTGGTTGTGTGTGTTTGTGTGTCTGTGGATGTTTACAGAGCTACAGACCACACCTGTCGTCCGATTTTGATGAACTTTGGTACGTAGGTACTAATCCATTATATCTCTCAAATATTATTACCAGATAGTGAGTTGGTGTCACAGTTGGTAGCACCATGGACTTTGGGCCCAAGGCAGAGCTATTCGTACCTACCACCTCTTTTTATCAGTAAAGTTCACTCTCTCCAGTTAACCAATTACTTTGCCGGATACAATCCACAGACAGGTCCACAGCCTATGCGGACCGGCAAATACAAGCTTAAAGAGGTTTCCTAACATTTATTTTAAACCCTAGGGCCGAAAATGAAGGGCTATAGTGTGTATAGCTCTCATGCATTTACAAGATATGCATTCAAAGTGTATATTTACCATATTTTCCTCAGAATACAAAATTATGTTAGACTAATTGCTATTTAATCATAAAAATTAACATTGAATATATATATAGAATCATCCTCAGCTGAATTACATGGATGCAACACATGGTTTGCTCATTTATAGAGCATCTAAAGCAGCTCAAGTATCATTGCATCATTGTGCTGTATTCTAGTAACGACACACAACTCATCTGTTCAGCCTCATGAGAGCAGATAGGAATGTTTGTCCATTACAAGCATAATACATTGCCAGCTAAATGAAGATGTCATCAAATTTTGTTTTGAATTCCTTTCTTTGTATTTGTTTTTTCTTAAATGTACAGTATTGTTGTATAGATAAGCTTAATGTACTTAATCTTAATCAGGATTTTTATTATGTGGTAATAGTTAATCATATTCAAAGTTTGTATTTATGTACACAGGTAGTATATATTGAATAAATACCAGTGATAGTAGGAATACTAGTTTCAAACTAGGAATACAGAAAAACGTTAGGCAAATCAGCTATAGCTCGACCGCTTAGAAAACGACCTGCGCGCTAATGCTAAACCAATGCTGGAGGAGGTCGTTTTCTAAGCGGCCGAGCTATACAATAATAACTATAGTATATCAACCACATGTTAAATAATCATTCAATATCCTATGTTGGCAATAAGGAAATATCTATCATATGTTATTATTAATAATTAGAATGTTAAATAAGTCATAAACATTACACATTTTTTTATCAATCAATTATATATTGTAAAATAAATCTTTTCAAATTAAGCTATATTTTTCAATTAACAAACCCAACAAAATACGCGTGCACACACAAGGCCACGACAATAACTAAACTTATTTTTTGGTAAGTGGGAAATTGGAAAGTGGGAAGGTTATGGTCATCGATGAAGTTCCTTAAGTTTTTAAGCTATTTCGTATGTTCAATGAATTTGTAAATAAAATTGAATCTAGTTCATTTGCTTTGTATTTTTATGAATAATGTTTCATGAGTAATGGTTATTTTCAAAGCCCATTAGGTGGAAAAAATAAGAAAGGTTCAAAAATTGAACCTTAGGACACCCCAAATTTAGTAATTAAATATATAATCAAACCTATACTGATCTTTTAGACCAATTATTATGAATTAATATGACTGATTATTATTATATAGTTTATTTTATTATGAATTGGTTAATAAGGTAGGTATTTCTAAAAGTTTAGCCTACATCTGTCTTCTACCTAATTTGTGAATCGATAAGGAGCTCTCCCAAATATTTCTAGAGTTGGACAACTATCTTCCTTTTCAGTACCGGTACCTGTACCCCATATTTTTTTAAATTAACACACAAACATTGGTCATATTTTATCAAACTAAACTTAACTGGTAAAGGTAATTCCAGTCAACCCCAGATGCATATATTTCAATACACTGTGAAATAACATATGAGGTGGAGATGTCAATTTGTCAGGGAAAAAACAATCATGAATTGAAATGTCAGCTGCAGTAAAGCTATCCTACTGTGCACATCAAATTATGAAATATTCCAAGAGCTAGATTGTCTATCTAGTTTTTTTATGTATCTTCTCTTGGATTTTTTTTTATTTTTTTTTTACTACAGTTTGGAAATTTACAATCTTTAAGAAATAACACAATGTATTAGTGAAACATAGTACTTTACTAAGTTAATTTTTGTCATACTGCAGAAAAAAACAGCCGTTTTGAATACATGCGTTGCGGATCTAACGTAGCTATTTTACGCTACAGAGTAAAAAGCCTTTTTAATATTTTAGATTTACAAATAATATATCTATTGCTGATTAGTTTTAAGGATTTAGAAAATCTATTGAAAATCTATTTCACTAGGTGTTTCTCAGAGGTGGTGTGTGTTCTGGAGGTTAAAAGAAGGTTAAAAGAAGGTTAAAAGATTCACAAAAAGTTTACAAAGAGCTGTCAAAAACAAAAACTGGACTTAATATTTACAGAAGAATAGATACAAGAGATGTTCCCAGAGCTGAAGTTGAAGAGGATAATATTAGCTGGAAAGCGTTATCAGAACATTTGACTGAGAAGTTGACATGTTATTGTACACCCACTTCTGAGAGCTACTACAATACACTGATGAAACAACCTTGCTTTATAACATCTCAAACAAGTATATCACAGACTACCCAGTGTTGCCAATTGTACACCATAATCGTATTTGCACAATATTTTCGGCCCTTCCTCATAAAAAATATTTTTGAAAAATTTTAAGATAATTTTGATGAAACCGCAAAGTGCGAGTTACTTCACACAACCTCACACACAAGTTCACAAAGATTACTATTTTTAAGGTTCCTTTCCTAGCAGCCTTCAATAAACATAGGCCTAACCTATATTAGTTGGACTAGAAGTGTTTGGTTATTTTATCTTATAAATTGTATGTTTTATATCATAATATGAAATAAATGTTATATGTACAATAGTTTTGACCCAAATATGATAATTTTTACCTGCTTGTACGATAATTTACTCTGGTTGATCTGGCAACACTGGCTACACTATCACGTATAGAACACTCTTCATTGGAAAATTTCTCATTAGTTATTTCTTTACACAATTTCACTGATGTAAATTTTAGGCTGACTACTAAACTAATGTTGAGATATTTAAGAAATCGTAACTTAACCAAAACTGTCCAAAAATTAAAATCTTGTTCATACAACAAACTGAAGTTTACATTGGTCAAACATTGGTATAAATTTATTAACTCGTAATTAAACTTTATCACTAATTAAACTACTTAAGATATTATTTCCTGATCATGGAAATAGAACCAAATATCTGAATTTAAAACCTGTGTAAAAATCAAATTTGTGTCAAAACAATTAATTTTTTTAAATGCAAATTTGGACTTTCATTGCTATATGGTTTTAAAATTTATATTGTGAACTTAATTTTTTTTGTTTTTACTTCAGTAATCCCAAAAACAATTATAAAACAAATAATGTTCAATAAGATATATTAAAGTTGTCGGCCATATTGGAAAATGGCAGTCATATTTTTGAAACTAAAAACCATCTTAAAAAATAAAAGGGAGTGCCTAATAAGAAGTTATCTGTCCTTATCATAATAAAAAAGTTATCTATTGTCACACTTTAGCTGTAACGCCCTGTATAAATATATAAACAATCTGTTTTACCACTATATCACCATTATTGTGATATAGGGACGTTACTACGGTGTATTTTTACCCAAATATTAACAGAACATGACCGTGTGGCAAGATGCTTTATGTAGCTTTGTTACTAAGATTAATGTTTTAGCATATTTTCATGGGACAATTTTTTTATTTTACGTTGTGTTTTAAAAACTACTTAATTTTTTAAACGTTTACGAAGTTTATACATTTCTATATAGGCCTTGTTAAAATTATTTTAAGTCACTTTCGGCCTATTAAATATTTTCTGTAAAAACGTGTACTAAGTTAATATCTATGATAGTGATAATTTTGATAGTGATAATTTTGATAGTGATAACATTATTGACATCAAATGCAATTGCAAAATGATGTTGAAAAAACATTAAACATTCAATTCACCAAGCAAAGATGTACATATCATTACGGCTTTGTTTGGAACTATTTTCTAAACAAAAAGGATCCAACAAACACGCCTTTAATCAAGCATGTGTTTTAGTATTACAGAATATAATAATGCCCTCATTGCAAGCTTTGTTAGTGTATCACAATCAGTGCTCATCTGCATTATGCTTATGTTTGCATTAATCAGCGCAACATTTAATTAGCGCTCATGATAATTTCCCAAGAGATTATTCTTTGTTCCCTACAGGACTGGTTGTTCTCAACCGTCACATCCTGTAACATTTTACTAGTTTATTCATCTATTTTGCTATTTTAAGTTTAATCTCTGCTTAGTAACAAGCTTTGGTCACAAAACTATAAAATTAAGTCCTTTGAAGCTGCTGAAAATACAGTTAGAACTACTCATAATGTTGTATCTGTAATCAATGGTATCAGGAAAAGTTGGACTCACAAAATAGTTGTACTAATTACAATTATATTGTTTGTCATACTGCAGCAAAAAGCAGTTTTTAATACATGGGTTGCAGGTGAAAAGTGGTTCCGTAACTCCATAGGGAGTAAAAATCAGCTGTTGTAAACACAGTTGTAAACTTAGATTGTAAGCAGTATAGTATATTTCGTACCTAGGGTCAAAAATTAGGTTTTGCCGGCTCGAGATAGTTTTTAAAACGATCGAGAGCCGGTAAAACCATTTCAGTCCGTGGTACGAACGATATTTTCCACCACACTATACCCAATTACCACTATTCACCAATAATGCACACTGAGAGTCAACTGAACTACAACTTTAAGGTTACGTGAAGAAATAATCTGAGGAATCAACAAAAAAAATAATAAATAGTTGCTAGGCAACGGTGACAATAAAACAATTCTATTGCAATGCTACGGATACTAACTGTGTATTTAATATGCATTCCTGTTTGTAAGAAAGTACGCGGGTGCTGATTTTGCGGCCCTAGGGATGTAAAAACCTGCTCGGTCCCCAAATGATGATGACAGCTGGCATGGCCAGCAAAATGTAACTTTCAGCCACCAATTAACGTATGTAAAACAGCTAAAAACATCAGCGTGTGGTGAAAACATATTTACTATCCACAATTTTAAATAGTTTAAATAAGTGGATACCGTACTTATTTAATGAGAATTGATTTCTGATTTTTAAATTCGTAAAACTAAAACTAAACTATTCCTAACAACTGTGTTGTTATACCATCACTTATTTGGTAGTAAGTTTCAAAATATACTAAGGGTGTAATCCAATAATGTAGTTATCTAGCATAACAAATGTGTGTTGTGTTAATAATGCGATCCGGGGCGAACTAGTCGTTAAAGTGATAAATAGCTTGATACATTGGTTTTGGCTCTACTTCTTGCATACGGTAATCTGTTTACGTTATTGGATCAAATATAACCTATACTTTGGTAGAGTATTTCTTTATTTCGACTGTGTTAACTGTAAAAAATATACAAAGTACAAATTAAAGGTTTTTGACGCTAAACAATTTTTATATGATGTTCGTGCACTTTATTTTTTTACACATCTAAGTCTAGTACCCTAAAATAATTTACTAACCATTTGCGATAGATATTTTTAATAAGATATAAAGACTGAGATTTTCTGTGCACAATGGAGGTCCTGGAGTAACAGTACATCTAGGTAATATTTATTTGTTATACTTACCTGAAGAGCAGAATACCCAATAAAAATAACGAGTTCAAGTAACAAACTTAAATGCTGATGGTACTTAAAGTCCACAATGACTATTCAATAAACTAAGATAATAAATTATATACTCACATTTATATTAGTGATGGTAGTTTTACAAAGGCACACAGGAAAATTCAACTGTAAACAAAGAACAGGAGTTAGTAAACACACGCACACACATACAAGGACAGCTGATGTCATGCATTGTTTGTTAAGCTGAGCTGACCATGCAATGTACATACAAACCTTCTGGCCCACCAATGCTGACCACATACAATAACATTGTTGATCTGAAGCGGCATTTAAATATTTGATTACTACGGAAACAATATGTTACCGTGGCAACATCCCATGTATTTAATTTCTGTATGGATTGAATGGTTAAAACTTATTTTGAGGTATTATCTAAATCCATACAGGAAACACCTTTGCTAAAGGTCCGTAAAATCTGTAGTTATTATAAAAATAACGAGCTTCATGTCACCAGAAAATAGGTCAACATTTAATTTCTCTAAATAATAAGAGACAATATGTGAACTGTCTCGAGTAAATAGTGTTAGCATTTTTTATTCCAATGGAGATATGTAGATTTTGGATTCAGATGCCTTTTGTCATTGGGCTGTAAATTCATGACGTTATCTAACAAAAGGTTGAGGTTGGAACAAGATCAGGTTTTGAACCGTTCCCTCACAAAGAATGTACAAAAAAACTACGCGAGTTTACAACGCAAATACAAGTGAAAACAACGTAGATATAAAAAAAATTTTTCAATTTAAAGTGGAAAAATATACAGTTAACGTTTCCTGATTCAATAACAATGTCCAATTAGTTTGAGATTGCGATTTGTTTTCCAATTCCATTTCTACTATGAAAATATATAGAAAAGTTTAAAAAATGTGTAAAAGGTTGAAGATACGCAAAACTAGCAATTTTTCACAAATGAAAGGAAAGTGGATTTACAGTCGGGGATGGGGAATTCGTCGAAAAGCAGGAAATTGTAACAGGACAAGTTTTCAACTTGGATGATGGAGTAGAACGGAAATGAACCAACAGGGCTCATCTGCACCTTGGCTGGAAAATTAAACTCAGTCTGTCTCCTGCCCACCCTTATCTGTCAACATTACCAACGTGATGAATGGTAACTGTTACTATAACTGGTTTAACTGTATAACATTCATTCTGTCTCCTGCCCAACCTTATCTGTCAGCATTACCAACATGATGAATGGTAACTGTTACTATAACTGGTTTAACTGTATAACATTCATTCTGTCTCCTGCCCACCCTTATCTGTCAACATTACCAACATGATGAATGGTAACTGTTACTATAACTGGTTTAGCTGTATAACATTCATTCTGTCTCCTGCCCATCCTTATCTGTCAGCATTACCAACGTGATGAATGGTAACTGTTACTATAACTGGTTTAACTGTATAACATTCATTCTGTCTCCTGCCCACCCTTATCTGTCAACATTACCAACGTGATGAATGGTAACTGTAATATCTTTGTCTAATTTAAATACAACATTTTTTTGTGGTAAACTAATATTTAAACCAATACTGACTTATTTCCAGGAAATTGAAATTTTTCACAAAAACTTCGTAGCAAATACTTATTACTAACATGAATACATAGTTTTTACGTCTTCAATGAAAATACATTACCGACAAAACAGCATTTTTCTCAAACAGCTGAGAACTATGACGTTAATTAATTATGTGCATGTTCCACTGAAATATTACGGTATTTTCGTCTAATTAGCTACCTTTCTCCCCAACAAAGTACATAAAAGTGCATGGAGCTGTTCGTCTCAATTACTAAACTTGTTACACCACTTTTGTTCTCCGTGGACTTGGAATAATACAACTCACTCTTGCACAGTTAAATGTTGCAAACTCGCAGAGTTATAACACGACTTGAGATCTGAACGACTTCACTTGCCACCAAACATGTAAAGTTCCAACTGAAATTTTCCTCCTAGGGTTGAGTTTGTCATAGTTTGTTTTTCAACAGAGTAATACAAAAAATTCTCTTTACTATGAGTAATTTAAATTTGTTAAAAACAGATTCTCCTATTTTGCTTACAACTTCTAAGGAAACATATAGGCCTAATTTTTCAATTGTGGAACCGGATAAAATTTCGTTAGTGGGCAGAAATTAAAAAAATTAAGCTATCAAGACGTGCATACAGTTAACAGTGCAAGACCAGGCTTTGGACCGTTCCCTTGCAAAAACGTAAAAAATGACAATGTCGTAGATAAACATAAATTAACACAAAAAGATATATTGAGCTATTAAATGAGTTTGATGAAACATAAAAATGTATAATGAAGTTTTCTTCATAAGACCCAAAAAATATCCTACTGTACGATGGATAGAATGAACTCAGAAAAGCAGAGCGAGGTGTAAGTAAAGAGGAGAGTGGCTAGAAGACAGAATAGCTGTCAAGATCCACTGATAACCTGATAACCTTTACCGTTGACTCGTAACAGTCTACATTACTGAACAGAAGTGAGACCATGTTTATTTTAAGAGTAAGTCTTCAGAAACGTATTCTCTTACTGTATTCCAGAGCGCAATTTAATATTTTAAAGATTCATTGCTGAGAATAATAATTTCAAAACATTATAGGTCAGGTTGTTTTTAGAATATATTTTACTTTTGTCTTTGAAAGAGGAAAAGAAAATGCCAAAGAAGATTTTTTTTTAGATGTGTGTGTTTTGGCTTTAAAACTACTTTTGCTACTGTTAAAAAAATTTTCAAAAACTTACTGCCTCACTTAAAATCCTAATTGCATAGGACTAGAGATCGTAATTTGTATAAACTATTCCTATTATCCATTGCTGTCAAATTATGTTTTATTTCAAATTATTATTATCAAACCAATTTGAATATTCAATACACCCTTCCTCTAACATAATTGGAATTGAGTGATGTGTTCAACTAACATTTAAAAACTAATCACTTGTTCACACTAATGTACTCTATTTCAAAATATTTCTGTTTTCGATATAAAAGACCATCCCCATTTACCCTGAAATACGTAATTCTGTTTCTCAATATTTTTCAAAAACAGGAACCATGTCTAAATGAATTAAAAAATAATGCTTATATAGTTCCCAAACTTGGTGAAAGTCACAACTAGTTAACACTCTACAAAACAACATTGCCAAAATATGAAAAATAAAAGATTTTCTGGGAAAAGGTTTCTGAGTAGAAATATTTAGTGATGGTTAAATGAGATGGACATTACTGTTTTTAATTCGCCTCAGTAAATCTATGTTGATGGGTAGTTGAAAAAATAATCTAATGAAAGCTTGTTTACACTGAATAGCTTAAGGTGAATTTAAATAAAGTGACAGCTACTTTTGCTAGATTCAATTACTAAACCTGCATTGAAAAAAAAAATTTAGTCACCTTAGAGATGATTTATAAAACAGCCTCTGCGGCTATAGCTTTTACCCATAATTTTCTTAGTAAAAAGCTAACAGAGGTGTTTCTTGATTTATCAAAGGCTTGATTGGATCTGCCATGTAATAAAATTATTGAAGTTGCGTAATTAGGCTGAGGGGAACTTGACCACAAAGCTACACCCAATCCTAGGGGAGTGGGTAGGTTTTGGTGCAGCCAACATCTTTATAGAATCCCTCCCATATTAGTTGCTATACCAACAATTTTTCAAACAAATATTTTCCTACAAAGTTTTTAATGATACATAGACTTTTAAGTTTACCTACCATCCTGAAAATTACAAATTTGAGTAAAATACCCTCGTCACAGCAAACCTGCAGTCTAAGCCAATTTCCATTTGCCTGATTTGACTCTCACATAAATCTGTTGATGTAGCATTAGGTTAAACAAATGCCTAGGTTTGATGCTCTAGGGGGGGGGGGGGGATTAATAAAGTGTGTTTATAGTAAAATTTAATAGCTTAGTATACAATAAATAATAAATTGGCCAAGTTTGATCAACATATATCCAGAAATAAGCAAACTACAACAGTTTAAATAAGAAATTTGGAAATTGTGTATTTTGAGGGCAAAAAAAAGAAAAACCAATTTTTACCCCATAATACCCCCATAAAGCCCCGTTCCCATGGTCCAATTATGCTGGTTTGCGAACTCATTAAAGTTTATACCGCCTTACATCTTCAAGCCATAACTTTTTTTAAATCGGACAAAAATTACTCAAGTTATCGCATTCACGGACGTATACACATATATAAACATTATAAGGAATTGTGTTTTTAGCCTCTAGGGACATCAAAATTAAAAATTTTATTAGTCCCGTGTCCAGGTCTTACTGTGCCACCTACAGTAATAGCTACTTCCCTATGGGGAAATTCGCCAAAATGGGTGAAGCGTACAGTATATAGTTACTAATGATACAGCTCAAACTGAACTACTTAAATTTGCACAAGGTATAAGTTAAGTAGATGCATAGCAAGAGTTGACTGAATTAAAAGTTCCAAATCAGGCAAGTTTCTCAGCACTGGTATAGCTAGGAAGTTTAGAGATTAGCTTGCAATTTAGGAGTTTCTAGTTTTAGAAAAGCTTAAAGCGCTTTATAATGGTCTAGAAATGTATCCAGTTGTCCTGTGTAGGCCTGATTGGAATTGCTTGGATATAAAATAAAACTTGGCGAAAAAGCCTGATAGTCTTAGTCAAAACCTAAACCAAAAGCCTTACAAGTAATTTTCCTCATCTCACACTCTTTTTTCACATAAAAACGTGCCAAGCAGAATTCTTAACTAAATTCTGTACTACTTGTCTTATTATTGTTGATTGCTGTAAAATATTAGTTTTTCTAAGCTTTGTAAGTTCATTGATAGATTTATCCAGTGATATTTTTTAACACCTATTGATTTTTATTGCTGTTCAATTTTTAAGGACTTTAGGAGCAGTTAAATTAACCAGGTTGTATTAACTGTGAACAGTTTGCCATAAAAACTTAATTGTACGCTTTTTTTAGGGTGGCAATCTGTAAGGTTCTTTCAATAAAGAGTTCTAAGGTTTTTTCGTAAAAACCCGCTCAGATCACGCACTTTCACATAGCTAAAGGCTATTAGCAGGATTTGAACCCAAAAACCCAAAAGCAGAAATGTTGTGTTAACCACAGGACTAGCCAAACATTA